GGGCTGAGTTGGGCTGCGCGCTGGGGCAGGAGGGCTGGGGTGGGGCTGGGGTTTGAAGGGCGCAGGGCTGGGACAGAGGGTCGGAGGGGGGTGTGGGCTTTGAGGTGCAAGGGGGGGGCCCAAGGTGGCGAGAAGAGCAGCCCCGGGCGATCCCACCGCTGCCACCAATGCGGGAAGTGCTTCAGCCGGAGCTCCAACCTGCTCAAGCACCAGCAGGTGCACACGGGCGAGCGCCCCTACGCCTGCCCGCGCTGATCTTTCTCGTTTTATCGCCCGAGCAGAATTCCCCATTTCCAAGCCTGACCTGCTCTCCCAGCTGGACAGCGGCCCCCTGCTCTGGGGTAGGTTTCTGGGGGGAGATGTGGGGCTGCCGGCCAGGGGATCTCCCTGCCAAGAAAGCGGAAGACCAGAAGTCCAAAGTGCCGGCGGAGCCTTTTCTCCCAGTGTCTCCGTTTCCCCCCCACCCCAGCCCATAATTATACTGATGGGGCACAGCCTTGGTCATACCTTGGTGGGGAAACTGAGGCCCCTCTGCTCTGGGGTAGGTTTCTGGGGGGAGATGTGGGGCTGCCGGCCAGGGGATCTCCCTGCCAAGAAAGCGGAAGACCAGAAGTCCAAAGTGCCGGCGGAGCCTTTTCTCCCAGTGTCTCCGTTTCCCCCCCACCCCAGCCCATAATTATACTGATGGGGCACAGCCTTGGTCATACCTTGGTGGGGAAACTGAGGCCCCTCAGGGTCCCATGTGTGACCTGCGAGACATTTTGTTGCCCGTTGCCCTCGCTCACGACTGCCAGATTCCACCAGTTTCCATTCTCGTCTTTTATTCCTACCGGTTGAACCTCCCTAGTCCGGCACTCTCTGGTCCGGCGACCTCCGTGGTCCGGCATGATGTTAGTTCGCCGGCTGTCCACTGAGCATGGGTGTGGCCATGTTTCCTGCCGTCCCATAACGTTCGTTTAAAGACCCCGGCTCTTAGTGCTCTGTGCGGGGAAGGGTTGGTCATGTTAGACCATCTTGACCTCCGTGGTCTGGCGAATTCTCCAGTGCCGGATTAGAGAGGTTCCACCCGTATTATTGCAGCAACACCCACAGGCACAGGCCGCGAGGTGTGTGTTGACCATGCACGGCATTGTGGGAGCCGGGCGCTCCTCTGTGCGGGGAATGGTTGGTCATGCTAGACCATCCTGACCTCCGTGGTCCGGCGAATTCTCCTGTGCCGGATTAGAGAGGTTCCACCCGTATTATTGCAGCAACACCCACAGGCACAGGCCGCGAGGTGTGTGTTGACGATGCACGGCATTGTGGGAGCCGGGCGCTCCTCTGTGTGGGGAATGGTTGGTCACGCTAGACCATCTTGACCTCCGTGGTCCGGCGAATTCTCCAGTGCCGGACTAGAGAGGTTCCACCCGTATTATTGCAGCGACACCCACAGGCACAGGCCATGAGGTGTGTGTTGATGACGCACGGCATTCTGGGAGCCGGGCGCTCCTCTTTCGAAAGAGAGTGTCTAGATTACCAGCAACACAGAGAGCCGCTTTTTCGAAAGCGAGTCTAGTCGCGGTTTTTCAAAACAGCACCGTTGGCATGCAGTAGCACCTTTTTTTTTTTTTTTTGAAAGAGCCGTTTGGAAAAAAAGGCGCTTTTCCTCGTGAACCGAGGTTTACCGCGATCGAAAAAACGGTCGCGTTCTTTCAATCGGCTTCCGAAAGAAAAGCCGCAGGGGAAGTTTTTCCGAAAAAACTCTAGTCTAGCCACACTCTAAGAGTCTAAAAATCTCCCAACGGGCAAACAAGACCCCGGCTTCTCTCGCTCGGGCAGCTACGCCCGCTCGGGGCAAACGTTTTCCGCCAACGCAGGGAATAACTCGTGTGTCTCTCTCCTTGCAGCCGACGGGAAGGAGGAGGAGAAAGCCCCGCAAGCGAGCCCGGAGGAAAAAGCCGAGGGGGCCGGGCAGGCCCCCCGCAGCCCCGAAACGGCGGGGGGGAGGCCCGCGGGCGGGCGGGGGGG